GTTTTTTTACCATCTTCACACTCTCTGTGCGTGAGGAAGTAGTGTGAGGTAGAGGCACACTGGGGGCATCTGATCTCCAGAACTCTCTCATCTCTCGGAACTGAAACTCTACACCCAGTCCCCAACTCTTCATTCCCCTGCCCCAGCCCTTGGGAACCGGCATTCTACTTTCTGTTTCCACAGATTTAACTTCTCTAGGTACCTCACATAAGCGGAATCACACAGTATTTGTCTTTTTGTGTCTGGATTAGTTCGCTTAGCATAATGCTCTTGAGGTTCACCATGTTTTGATGTTGCTTTAGGCCACGAAATTTCGGGCTGGCTTGTGACTCAGCAAAAGATAACTGATCAGCATGACTTCCTCTTTTTTTAATTTTTAGAATTTATTTTATATATATTATTTTATTGTTGATAGTATTACAGATGTCTCCCATTTTCTCCTCCTTATCTCCCAGCCCCTATACGCACCCCCGCCCCGCCCCCCCAGGCCTTCACCACCCTATTGTCCCTGTCCATGGGCTATGCATAAAAGTCTGTAAGTTCTTTGGTTTATCTCTCCTCGCCCCTCCACCCCCTCAACGAATAGGTATGTCAGTCTGTTCCATGCCTCCATGCTTCAGGTCTTACGTTGTTAGTCAATTCATTTTGTTCATTAGATGCCATAAATAAGTGAGATCACATGATATTTGTCTTTCTCTGATTGGCTTATTTCACTCAGCACAATATTCCCCAGGTTCATCCAAGGCAGGCTTTCCTCTTTATTCACGCATGTGCGCGCGCACACACACACACACACACACAACCATGCACGCGCACATGCACGCACACACTTTTGCTTCTGTTGATTGATCAGAATGTTTTTTTTACTTTGCCCTCTACAAAGTAAAAAAGTTTGAAAGTCCCTCAGTCCCAGCCCTGCCCTGTAACAATAACAATGACAGCAGCCACCCCTGGCATTTGTGAAGGGATTGCCATGGGCAGGGCACTGGACTCGACCCCTGGCAGGCAATAATCACCAATCCACACAAAACCCTAGGACATGGGAGCCTCAGTGTCTCCATTGTACAAGTGAGGGTGCCAAGGCACAGAGAGTGAGTGAGTGCCGAGCTGGCACAGACCTCTGCTCTCAGCCCAGCCTGGCACCTGCAGTCCTGCCCTGGAGAGGGACACCCTTCCCTCCGCTGCTCCCACCCCCGGGCCTTTGCACATGCTGTGCCAGGCACCCAAGAACCACTTCTGGTGCCTCATGTCCCTGAATCTTCCACGCACAGCCCTGTGCAGTGGGTGCTTTGGTTCTTCTTACTTTGCAGGTGAAGAAACGGAGTCTCCGAGAGATCTGGGGCCTCCCTCCACCCCGGCCACCCAGGCTGTGGGCAGAGCAGGAACGAGTTCGCTCCTCCTGTCCACCCCCCACCCGGGCTCCTCTGTGAGACCTTCCGCCAGCCCGCACCTCATCAGGTATTTATGGTTTTGCCTGTAAAAGGACAAGCCATCCCGATAAGATAGAAACATTTTATGGGGCAACAAAAATATAGATAAAATTTTATAGTGCAAATCGGGAGGAGGAAAGTATTAAGTTCCACAAACACCTTTAAATTTTAAACAGCCCCATTGCAGGGTCCCTGGAGCCAAAGTTAAATAATGGATCAGAAAGGGGATAAATCTCCTCGGTCCCCTGGGTGACAGTGGGAGAGACCTGATCGACAAACAGACAGGAAGGGGGGCCGGGCCGCCCGGCGCAGTGCGGGCCCTGGTGGGCCGCGGTGCGGGCAGAGAGCCTTGTCTTTATTGTACTTATAAAATATACATGGCCCTTTATTGAATTGCCTGCTGTCGAAATCTGCAAGAATGTTATTGCCTTTTACTGTCCTGGAGAGAAGCAGAGCAGCAACATCTGTGTAATTTCATAAGATGCAGGAGCCATAAATCTGATTGTGCCGGATATAAGATCGATCGTAAAAAATCACGCATTGAACAGAGATCGGGATGCCGGGAAGCAGCAGGGGCTGCAGCAGCTTGGGGGGCGCTGATCCGAACCCCACGTGCCGTCCCAGGTGGGGCTCTGACCAGCAGGTGCTTTGGGGAAGCAATGCCCTCTCTGTGGGGTCAGAGCCTCACTGAGGGCCCTGTGGGGTCCAAACCCTCCCCGGCCCATGGGAGACCTGCCCACTGGGGGGAAGCCAGAGCTGGAAGCGCCCCAGGATCCATAAGAGGGATGTAGACCCACTCACAGTCACCCCCAAGATCGGAGACACACAGGCTCACCTGGGGACACGAAGCTCCAAAGACACACCCTCTCCAATCCCTGTCCCAACCCCCCTCACTCCGCCAACCACAATAACCCAGAACCTGGTCCTTCCCTGCTGCCACTTGCTTTATATCTTCATAAAAAGCACAGTTATCCTGGATATATATTGTAGATATTTGGGATGGAGACAACAAATAAAACCCTTCTTTCCCTCCGAGCTTGGAACCAATGAGAAATGAGACACAGGGACAGATCAAACAGCAGCTATGGAGGGCGTGGCAGACGGGTGACTCCGTGGGCCTCCTCCTGCACCTTCTGAACTGAATTGCCCCTCAGCTTACAGGCTGTGCCCTGCAGGGGCAGAACCTTCCCAGGAAGCCTACACCACCCCACCAGGGGCAGGCCAGCATGCAACCTCCCTGCAGGCAGCGCCATGGGTGCAGACAGCTCAGCTCCTGCCCCCAAGCGCAGCAACCAAGTCTCACCTCCCCTGGGGCAGAATCAGTGAGGGATGCAGACAGGAGCCAAGAGTGTTCCTCCAGGAAATGAGAGTCCACACAGCAGTGAGAGTGTCTCCCTCCCCTCCTCTTGCCTCAGATGCATCTAAGAAACTCCTCAGGAAGTGGGAAAGGATGGGAGGGTGTGCACAGGACCCCTGGGCTCTCTGAATGCCTGCAAAGTCCCTTTTCCTGTCAATCGCAGCTGCTCTTGCCCTGTCGTCGTGTGGGAAGGGGTGAGTTCCTGGAGAGCAAGAAAATGATACAGAGACAGGAGTTGGTTGCTCCCAAGGAGATGATCTTCCAGCAGCACTCGCTCTATCAGTTATCTGCTGCTGCGTAACAAATTACCCCCACACACAGGGGCTTGGAGCAAAGACATTTAACTCAGCTTCTGTAGGTCTGGACTCCTAGGAGGCATGGCTTATCTGGTCTTCTGGCTCAAGGTCACTCATAGGCTATAGTCATCTCGTAGCTCAACTTCATAGACACAGACAACAGCATGCTGATGACCAGAAGGGAAGGGGGGCGGGGACAGGTAGGAAGGTGGGGTAAATGGTGATGGAAAGAGACTAGACCAGTGGTTCTCAACCTTCTGGCCCTTTAAATACAGTTCCTCATGTTGTGACCCAACCATAAAAGTATTTTCGTTGCTACTTCATAACTGTAATGTTGCTACTGTTATGAATCGTCATGTAAATATCTGATATGCGGGATGGTCTTAGGCGACCCCTGTGAAAGGGTCGTTCGACCGCCAAAGGGGTCGCGACCCACAGGTTGAGAACCGCTGGACTAGACGGTGGGTGGTGAGCACACAATAGAATATACAGATGATGTATTCTAGTATTGTACCCCAGAAACCTCTATAATTTTATTCACCAATGTCACCCCAATAGATTCAATTTAAAAAAAAAAAAAGATGACAACCATGAGAGAGAAAAGCCCGCCTGCCAAGAATATTGGACCAGAAGGACAGAGGGAACTTTAAGCCGTTGTTGATCACTGGGTCGCCACCACAGCAGCCACCTTTCTCGAGACTTCGTTTTCCATGAGAAAATAAAGTCTTTATTTGAGCCAGTGTTTGCTGAGTTTTCCGTTACCCACACAGCCAGGCACAGCCTCCCTCTGGGCGCGAGCGGCAGCCAACAGAGACAATCGCGGCTTTGAAATGGGGTCCCCTTCTGTGAGGCGATGCCGGGCCCTGGTGCACAGATGCGAAAAGGCAGAGCGCGATGAAACCATGTTTAAAGGCCTGCCATCCGGTTTGGCAGGAGTGTGGGGAAAGGATCGTTCTGATGGGCTGTCGGTGGAAGGATGAACTGGTTTAGCCCGATTGAGAGTAATTTAGCTGTAGCTATCGTACTAGGAAATGCATAAAGTCCCTGACCTAGAAAGCTCACGTCTATAAATCTGTCCCTCAGAAATAATCACTTGCGGGTGTAATGTGATAAGCGTAAGAATGTTCATCGCAGCGTTGCTTATAAGAGCAAAAACCGGAGGCAATCTCTATTCCCATCAGCAGGTGCACAGCGAAATAAATGGTGGTTGAGGTCCATGCCACCCAGCACGGTAGCCACTGGCCACGTGTGGCTACTCCGCATTTGGAAATGTGGCCAGTCTGAACTAAGAGGTGCTGTGAGGGTAAAACACACGCTGGGCTTCAGACATTTCCTATTTAAATATAATGTAAACTATCTCCTTATTCCGTATTGTTTATATGTTGAAATGGTCGTATTTTGGACCTATTGGGTTAAGTCAAATATATTACTAAAGTGCATGCCTCTTGTTTCATTTTCTCTTTTTCAGTGTGGCTACCAGAAAACGGATACTTGCAAGTGGGGCTCGCGTTACATTTCTGTGGGGCAGTGTTCCTTTAAGCACAGCTGGAAAGCTACACAGCTTCCGAAGGCATGAGGTGGGTCTGAGCACGCCTTTGGGGAGGTGGTCACGGTACATGACTAAGTTATTAAAGAATCCGCGCAACTGGAAAAGTCGGATGACCCCAAGTTTGGAAAAGAAACGCAGTGAGCGTTGTGTGTGTCGACAGCATTCCTACAGAACCTACCGAACCACCAGCTGTGGTTGCCTGGGACTGAGCGTGGGGTCTTGCCTTTCATTTTTCACACTCTGTTACTGTTTAATGTTGCTGCATGTATTTCTTCTGTAAGCGACATGGTTTTTAGTGGGAGAGACAGAGGCGTAACAGCAGCAAAGTAGCAGCGGCCACAGTGTGGCCACGGACCTTGTGCGTTTGAAACCAGGGATCTGAAAAATGCAGAGGGGCCGACCAGGGGAGAGAACTGCAGAAAAGCCAAGTGGGACGAGGGGGCAACCCCGGGGACAGCGACTCACAGAGACACCCAGCCATGATCCTGATGCCACTCCGGCCTCCTGGCCCAACTGGCCCACTGCCCCCCGTTCCTGCCTCCTGCCTGAGGTGGCTGGAAGCCACCACCAACCCCCCTGAGGGGACACGAGACGTGAAGATCCTGAGAACTGCTGTTCTCCTAAACTGCATGCAGGTCGCCCACTTCCATGGTCTCAGTTAAGACTTATTTGTAAATGACAGACGCCCACGTCCAACCAGCTTCGGAGAAAACGGACTTATGGGGTCTTTACTACCCGACGTCTCCAGAGCTTCTTGATTAAGCAGGAGGCTTAACCAGACCCGGACTGCCTGCCTCGGCGAGGCTTCCCAAGGCCATCCGGTCTTCAACCTGGTGCCTCCCCACCCTCCCAGGTCCATCGAGAAGCCCTTGGCCATCACCTGGGCCAGGTAACTGTTGCCAGGGAGTCCTTCGTGCCCATGGCCTCTGGGGGCCTCCCCTATTTAGGTAGAGGGTGGGAAGGGCTCAGGAAGGGATCGAGGTGGGCTGGGCGGCACTGCAAAATGTTTATGCCTCGGTGTGGTTTCTGCTGTTCTTACTTCCATTCGTTCTTTAAATTTCAAAGTGCCAAGTCGAAGAGCCCCACTCCTGTGTTAAGGTGGAACCACTGGAGCAGACCACCTGCCCTCAAGGACTCGGTGAGGCATCTGCCTGCTCCTAGATACGCAGGTGAGGCCCGTCATGACGCCTGGTGATACCACCTGGAGGTTTGTTCATTCTTTAAATCTACTCTGCCCAAAGCTATCTCATGCCTCCTCCTCCTCCTCCTCCTCCTCCTTCTTCTCCTCCTCCTCCTTCTATCTTTTTCTCTCTTCCTTCCTCCTCCTCCTCCTCCTTCTCCTTTTGCATTTTACAATATCGAAGTTTTTTACAACTTTATTGAGATATACTTCACATACCCTAAAACTCACCCATTTAATCACTGAGGAATTGATTAGTTATGAATCTGAATCAGACATGTGGATAAGCACTCTGACAATAAAAGCGCAAACACTGAAATAGGAGACCTTCACAAAACCACAACCAGATTAGGAGATTTAAAAACATCTGTCTCAGAGTTTAACAGATCAAGTATTTTAAAAACACCCCACAGTTCAATGTAATGCTTTTCCCTTTGGGCCATAACGTCAGGGTCTGCTTCTCAGGCTCTCCAGGTGGTTCTATGGAAAACTCTCCTGCCAGCTGCAGGTAAGAGACAGGTGCCCGCAGCCTCTCCCCGCTGAGAAGGGGGACCCCCCTCACCATCGCACCAACAGCTCTCTCCAAAAGCCATTCCCCACATCCTCTCTCAGTGGCTACTATCCTGCTCCTTTCATGCGTTCAGTGTGGTGAGAGGTTAGGAAGTTGTCTGACGAGTTTCTCACTACCAACTCCACGCAGGTCCCTCAGGGTATCTGGTCTCCTAATTCCTATTGGTATCTGATGTCTATTGCTTAGGGCGCGGCCAAAACTTCCATTTCAACACTGTCCTCCTGTAACTGTGCTACTGGAATAGCAACACGGGTGAGAACCAGAGCTACAGGGAAAACAGCTAAAAATGTCCAGAGAGATCAAATGAGTTACTGACAAGGGAAAGAATAACAACTTGTCAGGAACATCTTATTTACCACACGAGTGTGAAGTAGAAAACATTGAAGAGTTCTGAGGGGAAAGGATTGTGATTCTAGAACCCATGCCCAGCAAAATAATATTCAGATGAGAAGACAAAAGGCAATTTCAGGCCTGTACCACCAATAGACCCTTTCTGGGAAAGTGACTCAAAGGAGTATGTGGTCAGGATAAAGACTTTGTAAAATGCGGTCTGCGAGAACAAGGGCAGGAAATCAAACCTGTGAAGCTTTTTCTGTTTTGATAAGTCAGGTGCATTTTATTGGTTTTCTTTAAGAACTCTAAGTTTATCGTTAATTCTAACTAATGGTTGACCATGTGAATATTTTATATATATATATATATAATTGATTTCAGAGAGGAAGGGGGAGGGAGAGAGATAGAAACATCAATGATGAGAGAGAATCATTGATTGCCTCCTGCACGCTCCCCACTGGGGATCGAGCCTGCAACCTGGACACGTGCCCTCACCAGGAATCAAACCCTGACCTCCTAGTTCATAGGTTGATGCTCCATCACTGAGCCACCGCGGCTGGGTGACAATGTGAAATTTTTTTTGACAATGTGAATTTTTAATGCAATCTCTCAAAAAGGATTTTTGGAATATAAGACAGCCACACAGTAAAAAAAAAAATCATTTACCTTTTATGTTAATTTAATCATGTTTCTGAAGTCTGGGTAAGGAAAGGGACACTAAAACGTTCTAAAGGCCAAATCCTGTTTGGAGATTATAGGTACTTTAAAATTTTGATTGTTATTAGCAATACGATTTTAAATGCTGGTTAATTTTTATATTAAAAAAAACTAGTAGAAAAGCATCTAGAATTGCCCAAAACAGAAGTCAAAAGAAGAAAGATCAAGCCAGTAAAAGTCAATTAAAGAAAAAGCAAAAAGTACAAAAGTGAAAGAAACAGAAAGTGTAACACAAAATGTCAAAAATAAGACCAGTTATTAACAGCTGTACATTTTTTATTGTTTATTTTAAATATATTTTATTGACTTCAGAGAGGAGGAAAGAGGGAGAGAGAGATAGAAACATCAATGATGAGAAAGAATCATTATCAGCTGCCTCCTGCACGCCCCCTACTGGGGGTCGAGGCTGCAACCCTGGCATGTGCCCTGACCTCCTGGTTCGTAGGTCGACACTCTCAATCACTGAGCCACACGGGCTGGGCGACAGCTATAAAATTTTAATGATTAAATTCTAGTAAAAGTCAAAAGAGTCTCAGGTTAAGTGAAAAAGGAAACTCTAGCTCTGTTCTTGGTTCAGTTATCTCCTGCTGAGGGACAAGCCACCCCAAAACTCAGGAGGGGCGTGGCAGGGTCACTCACTCTGCTGCATTCGGCAGAGGGCTGGGCCGGGCACACGGTCCAAGGCGACGTCACTCACGTGGGTGAACCTCATGGCTTCCCCACCATGGCCTCTCTGTTGCCAAGAGTGTTGTCTCATTTAATAGGACAGCCTGAACATCTGCATGTAAGGGGACACTCTCAATCACTGAGCCACACGGGCTGGGCGACAGCTATAAAATTTTAATGATTAAATTCTAGTAAAAGTCAAAAGAGTCTCAGGTTAAGTGAAAAAGGAAACTCTAGCTCTGTTCTTGGTTCAGTTATCTCCTGCTGAGGGACAAACCACCCCAAAACTCAGGAGGGGCGTGGCGGGGTCACTCACTCTGCTGCATTCTGCAGGGGGCTGGGCCGGGCACACGGTCGAAGGCGACGTCACTCACGTGGGTGAACCTCATGGCTTCCCCACCGTGGCCTCTCTGTCGCCAAGAGTGTTGTCTCATTTAACAGGACAGCCTGAACATCTGCATGTAAGGGGGCTGGTGGAAGTTACCTGGCCCCTTATGGAAAGGCTAAAGCTGTCAGTTCCTCTGCTTCCTATTGGTCAAAGCAAGATCCACCGTCATCTATAATAATAAAAAAAGGGTAATATGCTAATTAGACTGAATGTCCTTCCGGGTGTCATTCCGGATGTCCTTCCGGACAAAGCTGGGCTGGAGCGAAGCCCGGGTCCCAGGTGACTGGTGGTGGTGGCCAGAGGGAAGCAGCCCGGGTCCTAGGTGCCTGGCGGCAGCAGCCAAAACAAAGCCCAGGTCCTAGGTGCCGGAGGGAAGCTGGTGCCGGCAGCCAGGGGAAGGAAGGCCTACTCTTGCAGGAATTTTCGTGCATCAGGCCTCTAGTCCATTCAATAAGAGAGGAAATAGACCCCACCTCCCAGTGGGCGGGGCCACCTGTGCTTGGAAGGAAGGAAGGAATTTATGGCCATAGCTTTGGAGACTGTCTCCCTCCATGTGCTTCGCAAGAGATCCATCTAACGTTACATAATTATGAAATATTTAAAGCAGATAAATGTATTTCAGGGGAAATTCAAGTAGCATAAAGAGAGTGAGGTAATCATATTTTTAAGGGCATAATTCAAGGGGGAAAGCATTAAATGGAACTGCGGGATATTTTTTAACTGATGAAATGTCTATTCATCAAGAAAATGTTCTGATACTCATTTATTGAACACCCACACAGATAATTCTATTTAACCTCACAACAGTTCTGTGAGGTAAGTGCTATTCTTTGCCCCATTTCACAGACGAAGAACCTGAGGCTTAGAGAGATTGAGTAAACCCCACTTCTACACAGTTTGTAAGGGAAAGAGCCAAGATTTGAACTCAGGTAACCACTGTGAGGTAAGTGCTATTCTTTGCCCCATTTCACAGATGAAGAACCTGAGGCTTAGAGATTGAGTAAACCCCACTTCTACACAGGAAGCCAAGATTTGAACTCAGGTAACCGAATACCAGCTTTCCTGCTCTTGATCACTGAGGAATTGATTAATTATGAATCTGAATCAGACATGTGGATAAGTACACCATAAATAATAGAGCAAATACTGAATTATGAGACTTTCACAAAACCACAAGCAGATTAGGAGATTTAAAAACATCTGTCTCAGAATTTAACAGATCAACTATTTTAAAATTCACATAGACAACCTAATAAAATTAACAAGATTGTGTTAATATATCCAAATAGCATTTCTATGGGGAATACCCTTTTTTCAAATGCTCACAGAACATAAAGACAAATTGATTAAGTAATGAGTCTCAAAGTAAACCTCAATAAATCCCAAACAGTAGAAACTACAATTTCTACAAATCAATAATTAAAAGACAAATGACCAAGTAGAAAACTGGGAAAGGATATAGGAAGGGGTAATGTACAAATGAGGACATATAAATGGCCCACAATATATAAAAAGATGTTCAAGCCTTCCTAGGAAACATGGAACTGGAAATCAGATCAACAAGGTACTATTTTATTTTATTTTTGCACAACAGATTGGGAACATTGAAAATTTGTATCGGTTGTTGATAAGAGGATAGGGAAGGATTTTGTATAGTGCTGGTGGAATATAAACTGACATGGCCATTTTAAAGGACCTTTTGGAAGTGTCAATAATTTAAACATATGTGACTATGTTACACAGCGACTCAATTTGCAAAATCTACGCTGGATTCTGGTGTTGGTCACGGCAGCCCATCCCTCGCTGATTGCAACAAAACACAAAAGGCAACTGTCCACGGACGGAAAATAGCAAGTGGATTGCTAAAAGGGCCAAAACTCGAAGACTCTTATGGGGTAAGTTTTCAGGGTTTTGTTTCTCTTTGATCATCCAGCTTTCAGCCGAGGGTGGCCCCAGTACAAAACCGAACAGCAATGCAGGTAGCAAACCCTCCAAAGGAAACCCATTTTCCTGGACAGAGAATTGGAAAAAGAAGCCTCCGTGAGTCAGAGCGTGGCGTATCTCCTTCTCTCTTTTCTCTCTTTCGACCTTTTCTGAGAACAGAAAAACAATAACTAATGAAATCAAAAGCGGGAAAGATAAATACTGTTAGAGCCCACGAGTGATCCAAAGCCATACTCACTTTATGACCTCGAATGCTTTTATTAATCAAGAAAGAATACAAGTCAATGAGTCAAAGCATCAAACTCAAAGGCTTAGAAGAAGAAAAATAAAAGAAGTAGGAGGAAAGAATTAGTAGGCATAAAAGTAGCCAGTTGCCTACGTTTAAATCTGTTTCACCACTTGTTAGCTGTGTGTCCTTAGGCAAGTCACTTGCTAATTTTGTGATTCGGTTTCTCCATCTGTAAAATGAGAATATAGTCCATGACTCACAAGGTTGTTATGAAGATTAAATGAGCCAATATAACTTGGACTAGTACTCGGCACCGAGTAAACACTATATAAATGTGTGCTATTGTATTTCTTCTGCTACTGTTACTATTAAATGTCTGACAAGTCTTATGAAGAAAACAAAAGAAATAAAGCACAGAAATGCATCATGACTAAGATGGAATTTTTTAAAAAAATATATTTTATTGATTTTTTACAGAGAGGAAGGGAGAGAGATAGAGAGTTAGAAACATCGATGAGAGAGAAACATCGATCAGCTGCCTCCTGCACATCTCCCACTGGGGATGTGCCCGCAGCCCAGGTACATGCCCTTGACCGGAATCGAACCTGGGACCTTTCAGTCCGAAGGCCGACGCTCTATCCACTGAGCTAAACCGGTTTCGGCGATGGAATTTTTAAAAGAGAGAAATATAGAGAAGAATTTTTAAGTTATAAGTGAATTCTATGTATCACTTTATGCTAAAAAAATCCACTTTTCTAGGTAAATATAATACTCATTTCAGGAAAATATGTCTGGCTCAAATGGAAGAAACCAGAAAAGCTAATACTGTAGCAAATAAGTTTAAGGCAATTGTCAAAGGCCTTAGATCCAGATGGTTTTACAGATGAATTAGTAAACATTTTAGGAATAGCTACTCCCTACATTCTTTCCAAAAATTTCAAAGCACTGAAATGCACTAAAATACATGGAAAAGTTCCAGTTCGTTTTATGAGTTTGTATAATGCTGATACCAAAAGCACATAAAGCACAAAAATAAAAACTTTGTTGAAAAATCTCACCTAAATCTATCAGCCAATAAAAATATAGCAGCAAATAAAAAATCTAAATAATATATTGGTAAATTTAAAAATCAAGTAAAAAGAGTCATACATCATTGCCGGGTTTGTTCTTGGAAGGCAAGGTTCGTTTAACTCAGGAGTGTGGGTTTTGGAAGCAAACTTCCAGGTTTTGAAGCTGGCTTCACCACTTACTAGAAAGTGGCTGAGTGACCCCGGTAAGTGGTGGAATGTCTCTGTGGTTGTCTTCCAGTTTGTAAATGTAAATAATAATAATAATAATGTCTACTTCATAGGGATGCAAGGATTAAATTAAAACAATTCATTTGAAGAACTTAGCCAAGTATTGGGTACATAGTAAGCACTCAACCATGGCCAGATAGAGTATTAACTTTAATATGCTTTTTCAAAACCCCTTGATAATGCAACTGGCATGAGCTCTCCACTCAGCTCAAGTTTTTGAACAAGGTCAACTGAATGTTTTCATTTCCGAGTGGGAAGAGTGGAGAGGAAAGCAGGGCAGGACACTCAAGGAGCATGGGGCAGAGGTTGTGTCTCTGTGTTCCCAGGATTCTTCCAGCCCAATCTCCCTGGATTGGTTTGAGATAATTATTTTTTTCATTTTTAAATATATTTTGTACTGTTGATAGTATTACAGGTATCTCCCATTTTCCCACCTTTCCTCCCCTCCTTCCAGCCCCTACTCACCCCCCACCTCAGGACATAATTAGTAATTAGTATCAAATAACCTAGGGCAGTGGTCCGCAAACTGTGGCTCGCGAGCCACATGCGGCTCTTTGGCCCCTTGAGTGTGGCTCTTCCACAAAATACCACATGCGGGCGCGCACATACAGTGCGATTGAAACTTCGTGGCCCATGCGCAGAAGTCGGTTTTCGAAAAGGAGATAGACGAAACAAGTATACAAGACGAGTGTAGATGGGAGAATTGGAAGGGGTTGACCTCAGCGAACGTACCTCAATCAGATTGAGGACGTTTTTAGCAAAGGCCAGCTTAGGAGTACCCTAATTAAGTTAATAACAATGTACCTACCTATATAGTTTAAGTTTAAAAAATTTGGCTCTCAAAAGAAATGTCAATCGTTGTACTGTTGATATTTGGCTCTGTTGACTAATGAGTTTGCCGACCACTGACCTAGGGATTCCCAGAATGTCTGCTTCTATCCTAAAAGTCTTAGCCAGCCACAGAACTCAGAATGGTCCCCATGGATATAAGTCATAGCAGCAAACAACCACCAGGAGGCAGCAAACTGCAGCCAAAACAGGGGCACCTTGGATGATCAAGTCACTCCCCCTCCAAAACCTCCCACAAGACCACAAAGCTCTGCACTGCCTGACCACTGCCCACCTCACCAGCCCGTCCCCAGCTGCTTCTTTCCTTGTCCTCTGGACTCCTGACCCCTGGGCCTCCCTCCACCTGCTGTCCTGCCTCAGCATCTGGGCACATCATGTTCCCTCTTTCCCAGCTGCTCTGCCAGGGCCACGGCATTGCGCTAACCAGGAATACAATGATTCCTATGGTAGTGACGCCCCCTAGAGTTGTGCAGCAGGAGCAGCTCTTTCCACCCTTCCTTCTTCCAGTTAATGTTTACTCACCTTTTGGAGCTCAGCTCAACATTAATTCACCAGGGAAGTCCCCCTGCTCGGACCAGGCCAGCTGCCTGCTGGGCGCTTTCATTGTTGCCAATTCAACATGGCACTCACCACAATGCTGAACACGTCGCTTATTGTATAACAATTTTAAGGCAGCTTTATTGAAGTGTAATATGTAAATAGTAAAATCATGCCCCCTAGAGTCAACCCCCTCCCCGGCCCAAGCCCAGGGCCCGCTGGTGTGTCTGCAACTGCAGGTTTGCCTTTCACAGAATGTCATGTCAATGGAATCTGCAGGGTTCGGCCTCCCAGTCTGGTTTCTTTCGCTTCGTGGTTGTAAGATCATCTGACCCGTGTCTTCGCTGCCAGAATGTGAAGCTGTGCACAGCGAGGAACCACGTCTGACTCGGTAACTACCGTATCGCCGTGGCCTGCCGTGGTGTTTCCCAACCTTCCTTTTCATTACTGCTCCTCCAAGGAGAACATTTTAATTTAATTTCAATTCTTCCCGTTGAGAGAAATGAAATACTAAGGACTAAGGTGTTGTTGTGTAGGGTTGAGCTTTGGAGGGCCACAATACACTGATAGCTAAATAGTTTTTGCACCCTCCAAGAGTGAATTTTCACCCGTGGAGGGTGATATCACCCCCACTAGCATGCATGGACTAGCACAGCCGTGGGCAAACTACGGCCCGCGGGCCGGATCCGGCCCGTTTGAAATGAATAAAACTAAAAAAAAAAAAAGACCGTACCCTTTTATGTAATGATGTTTACTTTGAATTTATATTAGTTCACACAAACACTCCATCCATGCTTTTGTTCCAGCCCTCCGGTCCAGTTTAAGAACCCATTGTGGCCCTCGAGTCAAAAAGTTTGCCCATCCCTGGACTAGCACATAGTAGGTGCTCAACAAATGTCTGCGAATTAATGAGAGAACACTCAAAGCCATTGCCACATGGTGGCGCTCCCCAAGGGAGCCAGCTCATCTCATTGGAAGGCTCTGCTGGGTTTCAGGCGGGCTGGGAGGGACTATCCACTCAGATGTGGACACTCCCTTCTCCCGAAAAACACACCAGTAACTGCAAAGCGCCGTGCTGGTGGCTGCCGGAGCGAGGCCCAGCATCCAGGTACTGGGGACAGAATTGGATTTGTGTTTTGAAAATCCACTCTGGCTCGAGAGAGGGAGCAGGATTAGAGAGGGACTATCCACTCAGATGTGGACACTCCCTTCTCCTGAAAAACACACCAGTAACTGCAAAGCGCTGTGCTGGTGGCTTCCGGAGCGAGGCCCAGCATCCATGTACTGGGGACAGAATCGGATTTGTGTTTTGAAAATCCACTCTGGCTCCAGAGAGGGAGCAGGATTAGAGCAGCAGTTCTCAACCTGTGGGTCGCGACCCCTTTAGGGGTCGAACAACCCTTTCACAGGGGTCGCCTAAGACCATCGGAAAACACATATATAATTACATCTAGGTCAGTGGTTCTCAACCTTCTGGCCCTTTAAATACAGTTCCTCATGTTGTGACCCAACCATAAAATTATTTTCGTTGCTACTTCATAACTGTAATGTTGCTACTGTTATGAATCGTAATGTAAATATCTGATATGCAGGATGGTCTTAGGCGACCCCTGTGAAAGGGTTGTTCGACCCCCAAAAGGGTCGCGACCCACAGGTTGAGAACCGCTGGATTAGAGGGAAAGAGTTGGATGCTGGGATGGACGATTAGGAGGAGAAACTAGCTTGGCATAAAGGTGATGAGCTCAGTTTGGCTTCTTTGAGTTTGAGGGATCCAGAAGGTCAGATATCAAAGGTTAACGGTGTTTGCAGGTCTGACGCTCAGAAGAGAAACGTAGGTTCCAGAAGGAATGGGCTACAATAGCAGTTGCTGATCAGGAAGTGGGGGGAACATTCGCTGCAGAGGGCACATTGCAGGGAACCCCAGGACCCTGCATCCCACTCTCCCGCTCACCTCTGATGTCAGCTGCAGCTGACGGACAGTTCCCTACAAGCTCAGCCTCCCCTCCCGCCCACAGCGCCCCACCTCAGGAGCACCACCTCTTTTCCCTTCTCCAGCGCCATGGCCGTGCCAGCCTGTGCTCAGCCTGGAAGTGCAGGGAGCTAGTGCCCCCGTGGACACCCTCCCCCAGTGGAGACAGGAGCCGAGGGATCAGTGCTCTGCCCCCATCCTCGGGGAGATGAGGGGGTGCTCTGTACCCTGCAGAGGCCCCGAGGAGTCGGCCCTGCTGCAGACAGCTGCAGTCTCAGCAAAGCCTCCTGACATGGCCTTTCCCTCACCTCCCAGCCCCATCGCGCCTGCTTCCTGGGGTCACGTCCCAAGGAAGCCACTTGTCTCAGACTGTGCTGCTAGCAGCTGAGGGACCCCCTGGCCTCCAGGCCCTTGGCATACCTGCAGGGCCGATATGCCGCTGGCCTGGGCAGCCGGTCCTCTGGTGGGGCCAGCTCTTTGTGGGGAAGGTGAGCAGCCAGAAAAACACTCACTCTAAGCCAGTGATGGCGAACCTATGACATGCGTGTCAGAGGTGACACGCGAACTCATTTTTTTGGTTGATTTTTCTTTGTTAAATGGCATTTAAATATATAAAATAAATATCAAAAATATAAGTCTTTGTTTTACTATGGTTGCAAATATCAAAAAATTTCTATATGTGACACGGCACCAGAGTTAAGTTAGGGTTTTTCAAAATGCTGACACGCCAAGCTCAAAAGGTTCGCCATCACTGCTCTAAGCTGACTGAGGTGTCTCTGCTCCCCCCCTGGAATCCTGAGCCTGAGCCCCCTGCACAGAGCCGGGTCTTTCCAGTCTCCTGAAGGTGTGCAGTCTCGCTCCCCCCACAGGAGAGGGTGGAGGGTGGAAGGCAGGCTTCCATCCAGGTGATGTTCTCCCCGGAGGTGATCCATGCTCCTGCCTTCTTCCCTCCTCTGCACTGGCCCCCAAGCCAGTGAGCAGGCCTCACTCAAAGCCAGAAGGGCCCTCCATCCACCAAAGGCTGAATGTCCTCTCCCTCTACCCCCACAGGCTCAAGCCACTCCCCTGTCCAGGACCAACTGCAACAGCGCCACCTTCAGGCATCGCAGAAAGATGCATCATCTGAACCCTGCAAGGTGCCTGGATTAGTCTTTTCCGCTGGGAGGCAGGACGGCAGGGGCGGGCTGGGGGTGGGGAGGTTTACAATTGCAGGCTGATGCTATTGGGCAGCTCACATCACCTCTCTGAGCCCCGAGGTCAAGTGCGCTTGGCAATTGCTCCCCGGTGGCTGTGAGGATAGAGTGAGATAATCCTAGAGCACACCTAGATGGCCCATGACCCGTTCCAAGGCTGGGTCACATCCTTGTGTGCCTGGTTTGAAAAGTCCCCAAACAACCAACAATTCGTGGAGCTTATGAACTCACAGAGGTCCTTGGCCCCCTTTCCTTTTGCCCTTTGCATTTTGGGGGGGTGGGGGGGCTTTGGACTCAGAGACACAGAATTCAGTTGCTCACCATCATCAGCTCAACTCACAACATTAGGGCCACACCTGACGCCTCTTGCGTTGTCGTTTGCTTTGTTATCGTGGCTCTCGCCCCCCTTCTGGACCCCCCTCCCTCCTCCCTTCTCCCCACAGGCAAACATCCTTAATGTTGTCAATGTGTGAATGTGTGTGTGTAGCCATGAAAATATATATTGCAGCATATTAAGTAGTATTTGCCAGACATCTTGTTTGGCGTTCCATTTTTACGACCTGCCTGTGTTAGCACACATCATTCTAATTCATCCCATCGTATCGCTGCGTGGTGCTCATCATTTGCATATGCCCCTGCGATCTCTCCCTCCTCTGTGAGCAGGCATCTTGCTTGTTTCCACCCCTTGGGTATTGCCAGTAACGGCTTCGGGGAATATCCTTGGGCATGTTTCCTCGTCTCCCTCGGCGAGAGATGCTCTGGACTGTGTGCCCAGAAGTGGGATTGCTGGAGTGTGGGGTCCATGCTCCCCACCATGGCCCACCCCCACTTCACACTCCCACTAGGACAAGGGTTCCCGGGTCCCCACCTGATGGTTCAAAGTGGAGCTCATTGTCGCCTCCCTCTCCCTTTCTCCCCGAGCTGTCCTGCCTGGGCGTGCTGCAGGCCTCCTATGGACCAGGGACTTCATTACCTTGTAAGACAAGTGGCTCCAACTGCTAGGTGACCCCGCACCTCGTCACTGGCTATCACCGTGCACAAAGCGCCACCTTAGACACAGCCAGCTGGACAAGGAGTGGTGTGTGAGCCTATACCAGTGGTTCTCAACCTTCTGGCCCTTTAAATACAGTTCCTCATGTTGTGACCCAACCATAAAATTATTTTCGTTGCTACTTCCTAACTGTAATGTTGCTACTGTTATGAATCGTAATGTAAATATCTGATATGCAGGATGGTCTTAGGCGACCCCTGTGAAAGGGTCGTTCGACCGCCAAAGGGGTCGCGACCCACAGGTTGAGAACCGCTGCTATAGACATACCAAGGTGCGTGGACCATCCCAAGATGGCCCTAAGAACCCCCTCCATCCTGAGATGCCAAATCAACCCATCAAATGCAGCTCACATGCCCACCGCCTCTCTAGGGCAGCGGTTCTCAACCTGTGGGTCGCGACCCCTTTGGGGGTCGAACGACCCTTTCACAGGGGTCGCCTAAGACCATCAGAAAACACATATATAATTACATATTGTTTTTGTGATTAATCGCTATGCTTTAATTATGTTCAATTTGTAACAATGAAATTGGGGGTCACCACCACATGAGGAACTGTATTAAAGGGTCGCGGCATTAGGAGGGTTGAGAACCACTGCTCTAGGGAGTAGAAATGTGTGGCCAGCACAGCGGTGGGGGTGATTCTGTCGGGGCTGCTGTCCTGATCCCCGTTAGCACTTTTCTTGGTGGCCTCTGAGGCATGAGGGCCCACTGTGGTGCAGGACAAACTAGGGTGTGGGACTGGGTGGCAGTGTCTCCTTCAAGCTCACATCCCCCCAAATCTCTGAAGTGCTTGTGCATAGAGGTTTTCAGACTCACAGGCTCTGAAGTCAGAATGTCCTGGCTCACGCACCCCTCTTAGTGCCTGACAGGACTGCTGTCGATGACAAAGACGGACTACATGGGAGTGCTTAGCAGGGTTCCAGGCACAGGCTAACCCCCCCAAATGGCCGTCTATTAACAGCAATTGTCCATAACATAGGAAATACATTCTTTAGTTTACAAAGTAAAAAATGTGACTCCCCGAGAGGCTGAGCCACTGGCAGGAAAGCAGGATCCAAACTCAGGTCTGTCTGTTTCCATCTTCCCGGGCTTCCTGACCTCAAGGGCCCCGGCCTCTGCCGGAACCTAGAGTCCTGCCCAGGGTGGGCAACAGGCGCCTGGCCACCTTGGCAGGAGTCCCTCAGGGAGTGGGAGGCCCAGGGCCGGCCGAGCCCAGGTGGGGCTGTCGGAGGCGCCCAGGTGCTGGGTAAGAGGGCAGCCTGGCCCTTCTCCAAGCACATTCAGAGCCAACCCAAGGGAACCCCCGATGGTGTCAGTGCCAGCAGGCCTGGGGCACAAGCATCGGAGACATTAAATATTCAACGTGTCGGCTGGCTTCCAAGCTTGGTAATTAAAACTCTTATTTCATATTTTACACAGGATGGACAGGGAAGGCATGGGGCTGCTCTCAGAGGTTCCATGGCTTCCTTGTTCACAGAGGAAGTGGCTCTCCTGAGGACAATTTCCCTCCCACGTGGGACCCACGCTGCCCTATTTATGAAGTGATTTCCTGGGAGGGCAGGGAGTGGAGGTCGGGAGGTGTCCAGGGTGTAGGGTCATTCAGAGCTCCCAGTGCCGTCTCAGACTTTCTTTCTTCTTCTCCAGAACGGGTCTGTGTTCCCAGGAGCCTGCAGAGGGCTGGGCCTGGGGCCACTCACCCCTGATGCACAGGCAGCCTGGGAACAGCTGGCCCTGGAAATGGGAAGGGGGGGGG